TTTTTTTTTTTTTTTTTTTTTTTTTTTTTTTTTTTTTTTTTTTTTTTTTTTTTGTGAAAAGGGTGACGGCCTTGAGATATCATCATTGAGCTGACTGGCCCCAGGCAAAATTCAGAAACATTTGGTTTTACTCGTCAAGTTTCATCATCAGTATTCAAACTCAGGTCTGTTTTTCAGCAGTTCATGGCTATACCCACTGAGCTAGGCTCTTGGGTGTGACATTGGGTTTCTCATATTTTCTATACGCATATTATATCGTGTTCTTTAATCGCATCCAGTCTGATCTAGTTCAAGGCGTTTTCTGGGCGTGGCTGTTTGTGGTGGATGCAGGTGCCTATGAGGGCAAAGAATGACGAATATAGAGAGCTATTCCATCTGCCACAGGACGAGGTTTGTTACACTTCCACCCAGTGGCATATTTCACGAATGCCCCTGAGGTTTTGCATTGTGTTTGCATTTGGTTGTATGTGTGATAACACTGATAAATTGAGAAGCGGCTTGTTTCATTTCATGCGTTGACAACATCTAAAAAAAACAACAAAACAAAATGAAATTGTATATAATAATATAATTGGCATTTTAGCCAAAATACTTGGAATAATAATAATCATGCCAGTGGCATGTTTCAGAAATAGGATTGCATTTGCATTCGGTTGTCATGCCAGATGGCATATTTCGTAATTGTCCCTGAGGTTGTTTTGCGTTGTATTAGCATTCGGTTGTCATGCCAGTGACATATTTCAGAAATGTCCCTGAGGTTTTTGCATTTTATTTGCATTCTGTTGTCATGCCAGTGACATATTTCACAAATGTCCCTGAGGTTTTGCATTGTATCTGCATTCGGTTGTCATGCCAGTGGCATATTTCACAAATGTCCCTGAGGTTTTGTGTTGTATTTGCAGTCAGTTGTCATGCACAGTGACATATTTCGCAAATGTGTCTCTCTTTATGACTTACAAGCGACTTGTTTTTGTGAAGAAAAAAAAAAAAAAGAAAAAAAAAAAAAAGAAAACACGACTGTTTAGTGTGCTAGGTTTGGTGTGCTACCAGCCTCCTACCCTCTTGACCTGAATAAAACACCCGGTCATTGTAGCTGTATGTGGGGCAACTTTCAGTCCAGATACAGTGATAATGACCGGCGGTTCTTCTACTCGGGGGAAGACGTTACTGCACAGTACCTTCTCTTCTGAAAATCTGAAAGATGGTGTGCTGGATCAGATACAATTAGCTATTCTCGGTTTGAACTTAGTCGTCATTTTGGTACTTGTTCGGACGTGATGTAGTTAAATCTCTTCTGATGAGAGAGTTAAAACCGCCACTACCTTTTTTTTTTTTTTTTCTTACTACCATCTGTTGGATTGGCAGTTTGATGGATTCATTTTTTTTTTTTTTTTTGTTTCCTTGTCTTTTTTGAAGTTTTTTATCTTTTTTGAAACGGTATTCACCAGTTCGCAGTAGCAAATGCAGATCCCAGGGCTCGATCCATAGTTCCCCATCTTACCTGTGTACAGTATTGATGACAACCCGTAGATTTGAACCTGCGACCTGTCGAAACGCCAGTGGTAGGTAGATTGTCGCAGGTCACAGCTTAGAAGGGAATCGAACTGTAGACCTGTAGGGTAGGAGTCTAGACAGTTCCGAAGTCGTAGCTGTAGGATGTCTGAAGGGTCAAGGTCGTAGCTGCTACTTACCTGAAAGGGCAAAGTCGTAGCTGCTACAGTACCGAAAGGCCAAAGTAGAAGTTTCAAGAACTGGCCTTTCGGAGTCAGCCCCTGTTTAGGCCGAGGCAAGTGGCCAAGTGGTGTAGGTCCACTACGTAGAGTCAGCAGTCCCAGGTACCGGTCCAGTCAAGCAAGTACCGTCTGGGACTGTGCACATCGTGGGCCAAGGGATACAGGGCAGACCAACGCCGCACAGAAGTATAAATCAAGAGGCTGCRTCCAGCCATTCATTCATTCCTRCGGATGCYATGCGGAAGCGCTGCCTCAGCAGCTTGTGCGAGGAGGTCTGCAGTGCGCCCGAAGACGAARAGGGCAGTGAAGTGTAGTGTAGCGATAGGATAGTGGCAGCCATAGCTGCCATAGCTATAGTAGCGTGTGTGTGTGTGTGTGTTKCGTGTAGAGTGTTGYGTGTGGGACATCCAGGGTGATCCAGAGTGYGAACAGTGAGTTGTGTGGGCGCTCAGTYGCCATAGCCAGTTTKAAGGGAACTCCTACCTGGTTACGATATCTTTGAGTACTGTGTGGGCGCATGTCGCCAGTTTGCTGTTTCGCTGTTTGCATGCATGACAAGTGTGAAGAAGTCGTTTTAATCTGTCTAATTGACTCTAATATCTACAGGGGCGACCCAATTTTTCAGGAGGCAGAAGTGGTTTTAAGATCTGCTTGTAAAGTGGTTAAACCAACTGTCCAAGTTTACAGCCGTTGAACCGAGTTTCCCTTCTTTTTTTTTTTTTTTTTTTTTTCCCGAAAGTGTGACGGCTTTCGGATATCATCGTTGAACTGACCTATCGCATGCAATTCAGAATTACTTTTTTTTTGGGTCATCTGATAGCGTCTGGATTCGAACCTGGGTCTGTATTTCATGTTTCAAGTTTCAACAGCTCGTACGTGTACCGATTGAGCTAGGCTTGCTGGTAATGACTTTCCGAGTTAAAAGTCGTTAAGTTGTTAAACTGGGTTTCTGTAGGAGGCGGTGGTGAGTTTAAGAATATTATGATCTGTTTTGAACTTGGGTCTGTTTCCAAAGTGGTTACTCCAAGTTTGCAAGTGAAAAGTTGTATTAAAAAAAAAGGAAAAAAAGAAAAACGTATTGCTGTATTAAAAAAAAAGGAAAAAAAGAATAACGTATTGCCGTAAAAACCCGTATCAATAATCGTGGGTTTTCTTTTTTTTTTTTTCCTCTTTTTTCCTAAGTTAAACAGAGTTTCCAAGTTAGAAGTTGTTAATCGACATTGCCGTTATTAACTTATTTATTTATTTATTTCAATTATTTATGTAATTAAACTACTCGATATTTTTCTCGTCATTATATCTCCCGCTACCTACCTATATCACAACATTGACAGCAAGGACAACTTAGCCAGATGTCTTAATATTCCACTACCTTGTTGTCTCAAATACAATGTACGGTCATTATAGCTGTATTTAGACTGAAAGACACCCTGAATACAGTTATAATGACCGTACATGGTATTCCGGGGAAGAAGGTAGGGTCAGGTCCAACCCCGAGTGAGGGATGGAGTTTCTGTTAATTTAAATTAATTTAACGTAATTTAACTTAATTATTAATTAATAATTATGTTAAACAACTTGAACAGTTAAAGTTGAAACGATCTGTTTGTTGCCTTCAGACATTGATTGAAGACTTCAATTGTGCTCTTCAGAAGAAGATACTTCTGCAGGTATGTTCTTGTGCGCACTTTTTTTTTTTTCTTTTTCTTTTTCTTGCTGACGTCGGTACACATCCCTCATCCCTCATGTCCGCTGTTCTCTCTGCAGCCTAGAGATGGTAGTAAGTTGCTAGTAACCTTTTTTTTTCCATGCTGATAGGTTCTCTCTGCTACTGTCTTCGCCTGAATAGGATAATGTATGGTCAATGTCACCGTATCTAGACTGAAAGATGCCCCAAATACGGCTGTAATGACTGCTGGACTGTGTTTTGCTCAGCGGGGAAGTTTGGCCTCTGAGGTCTGTGCTTGTTTTCTTGCACATCTGTTTTCCGTTTCCGGCTTTGGGTTTCCCACTCAAGCTCCTGTCTCCCACTCTGTGGCCGCAAGTCTTATAGCATTGATTAGAAATTTAGAATGTGTTCGGTGGGCGGTGTGGCAACACAATAACAACCGCAACTAATGTTCTCCGGATAGAAATTGGAATTCAATTGGATGGAAACGGTGATTCACACAATATACTGGTGTGCTTTCCTTTTTGGAGCTTTGCGACTTTTGTCCAATTTATCCGAGTGGATTTTTGTCGCTATCTGCACTCATGTGCTGTCCTCTGTGTGTG